TTGTTTTCATTGGCGTGTTTCTTTGGACTGCAGGGGCTCGGGTACAGCAGAGAAACTGCTCCCCGACCTGCTAAAAGATTTGCTTGTGCTGCTCTGCCGCAAGTTAAAACTGGGGGTTTCAAGGCTTTCGTTTTAGCAGCATTTTCCAAAGTGAGGCAGTTGCAGAGCCCTGTGGGGATGTTGCTAAAGTTCATGGGGTACATCCCAGGTCTGTCCATCCCAGCTGTGAGTTATCCCTGTGCTCCCAGTGAGCGGTGCCGCCTGCCCAGAGTCTTCTTTAACCTGGGTCAGGTCGTTTCCTAGTGACTGGCTGTGCTGTTACCCCAAAGGGTTCAGGGTTGGGATTTTTCCTGCTTTCTTCTTGGGAAAGTTGTTTCTGGATTCCCCTTTTGGTTTTATCCATCTGTTATCATCAACATGGAGCTGAAGTGTGGAGAAAATCATTCCGCTTTCTTGAGCAAAGCAGAGGGACATGAGAATTTTTTAAAGATGCGATAATGTGGTGAAACATAAATTTATACGAGCTGTTATTTTCTTGTCTCGTAGTCTCCAGAAAAGCTCTGCTCAGATTTGAGCTAAAGATAAAGCAGGGCATGCTGCTAACCCTTGGGCACTGCAGTGCACTGTGCTAATGCTGCGAGTACTCCCCTGCAGAATCATCATCTCTGCTATCTGATGATGCAGCTTGCTGCTTCCCCACTGAATTTCCATCAGAATTAATCTTGTGAGAATTTTTGCAAGTTCCAGACCACAAATAAAAGCAAATCATAATTTTTCAGAGGACATGTCTAAAATCTGGCACAGCATGAGGCGCTTCTTTCCAGAGATGAGTAATGTAACACAATAGTGTGATTTTAATTAAATTCAGCAGCTTTTGGTGTGCTCCAGTGTGTCTTGTTCTGCAGGGAAAGAATTGATTCCAATCTGCTTTATAAAAATGGCTCTTGGGCATTAATCTCCTGGTTTTCATCCATCTTGCAGCACTTGAACCAAAATTGTTCCCTGACTCTGTTCCCATTTCACAGATGGGAATCGAAACTCAGAGGTCGAGAGCGGGACTGGAGAAGCAGCTCCTGGTCACCTCTTTGCTTGTCCCTGGTCAGCTGTATCAGTAGCAGCCCCCTCCTGCAACATCAGTAAATTAAAGGCTGCTTTAATCTGCCTGATCCCACCAAAGCTGCTGCTGAACGAACGCGCTTTCAGCCAAGCGTGAGCGTCTGGCAGAACCCCCCTGGTTTTCTTTGGACAGCTCCTGAGGGTGCAGCAGTGTTCCCCAGGAATTACGGCCTGTAGCTGCCATGCTATGGAAACCTTTATCTGCCAGATCCTGAGCCAGGAAGACTCGGCTCAGCCCCGTCCATCCCAGCAGAGCTGCAGAAGCTCCTTTGCACCAGCCTGAGGCTCTGGTCCTTTCCATTGCTGAAGGAATCCCTGGCAGAAGGGACAGCAGATGGGAGCAGCTCATGTTTCCTGGGTCTCATGGTCTCTGCCTGCTTTTTAAAGCACTCAGATGTGATCGCTGGGCTGAGGACAATAGCAGGAGATGATTCTGCTGGTGTTAGAGGCTGGAGTCCTGCTCCCACTAGGGGTTGAACCGAATCCTTCACCCTTCTGTGATGTTTGCACAAGTCATGTAAACCTGCTCACAGATCTGCTGACAGAGCATCTCCACCGCCAGCAGCCCCTGGTAGGAGCAGCCCCATGGGATGGGGGGCAGCGAGTGGGACATTCCCACCCCACCTGCTTCTCGCCAGACTTTCTGTTCCCAGGGCTGGTGTTTGACCCCAGGAAATCGAATGAAGATAGGGAAAAGAGAAAATAAATGATGCCAGATCCTCCCTGCTCGGTCACATGTTGGATTTGAGGCTAAGATGCTGCTGTACACAGGTATCAGACTAAAGCTGACCCACCCCTGACCCTCTGTATTCTCTGTGACGGTACCGCAGAGGTGAAGAGCTGGCTTCAGTTGCTAGGACAAGGCACCCAGATGCTGAAATATGTTCATAAATAAGTAAGTCGTCTTGCTGTTGCTGTTGGAAGCGCAGCCTACCTGGCTCTTGCCATTAAATAATGCAGAGGAGAGTGCATCCAGGCTGTGCATCACACAGTGCCTTCACCCGCACGGAGGATCATGGGGGTGGCTGATGAGGATACGGAGTGGGATGGATCATGGGCAACTCAAGTGACCACCAAGAGCAAGGCAGGGGTTCTGCATTAGGTGCCAGTGCAATAGTGATGGATCATCCCCATGTGCTGTACCGTGGCTGTGGACTGCTCCTGCCTTTCCTTGTCGGAGTGTTGCATTGCAGGGCTCTGTGTGCCGCGTGTGCGCAAGTCTCCAACACACAGAGTAGCCTAAGTGTTTTGTAAGATCAAGGGGGTGCTTTGCATCGTGTGTCGAGAGCGATCATCTGCTCTAAGTCGTGTCCTCAAGAGGAGAAGCTCGCTCTAAACTCCAGAACAAATTACTTGGTCTTTTCTTCTCTTCTAGGCGCTAACACAAACAGATCAGATCGACCCCACTTTCGTTCTCCTCTTTGATCTCTGGGAGCGATGCTGCTGGATGCTGTGGGGTTTGTCTGTGCAGAAGTCTGCTCTGGGAGGTTTATTACCTCTGAGAGCCTCTTCTGGGGGCGTTTGATGTTTCTGGGGCTTTTGCTCTCCCTCCTGAGTGGGATCAGGCTCCTGCGGAGCTGCTGGTGTTGCAGGCAGGAGGGGGAGGCGCAAGCACAGCAAACCCCGGGCTTCCTCCAAACACCCATCCTTCAGCTCCAGGTTTTAGATGGTCCGTTTGGTAACCCTCTCCTTGCGTGACTGCCCTTCTAATTGCATTCTGCATCCTTATTTAGCCATTAGCTGCTATGGCAGAGATACAGGATATTAATTCCTCCCCTGCCCTGACTTTCTCTCCGGTGCTTTACTGATGGTCAAGGTGAAGCCGGGGGCTGATGGAGCTGCTGTCCCCACGAAACTCGCAGTAGAAAGTATTTTTCTCTCTTTGCTGTCTCCGTCTGACTTGGGAAGGTTTATCACAGCAACTGATTACACCGCAAGCCAAGATTTATGGCTGGAAATATGTGCTTGTGATTTTAATTTTCTTTGTGGCTCTTTTACTTTCTTTCTGGCTCTGTGAGCAAAGAGAAGGCAATAGAGATTAAGAGCAGAAGATGCGTGTAAAAGAAAGGCGGTCATGCCTGGCGTTGGGTTGTATCTTTTACTCTTTTAACAAGTGCTGTTCAAGCAGAGGTCACCCCTGATGCCTCCTGTCTCATTGGAGAAATGCTGCTCCCCCTCACCAGCTGGGGCTGAGCTCTGAGGCAGGTTCCCATGATGGGGTCTGGCACTGCAGGAAGAGCTGGTGGCATTTTTGTCTGTGCCTCACATGGCTCTTGTATTTGTCACTGATCCCCAGGGGACAGAAGGGGAGGGGAAACACAGGTTTGGTAACGATCCTGGGTGCCTCCAGCCTCTCACTGCACCTTTGAGCTTTGCAGCTTCTCTCCAGAATGGACATCCCCCCAGCCACAAATGCATGGGCAGCTTTGTGCCAGATTTGGGGTGCTGGGGCCATTGTCCAATGGCACTGGCCTTGCCATGAGACTGTGAGAGCCAGCACAGCCCCATCTGCTCTTCCCACCCATCGCTGTCCTCCCCCTGTGCTGGTGCTTTGCACGTGGGCATGCTTCAAGGCTCCATGGGTCCCATGGGTCTGCATCTCGCGCAGGGCACGGCAGCCAGGATAGCTGCTGGAGCATGAAATCGCCTTGCCCTGGGGCTGGGGTCACTTTTCCCTCCTGGGCTCACCACCTGGTTGTGGTTTTAACTGAACTCACTGCAGGTTTGGGCACTATTTCAAACACTTGGTCTGAAGCTGCTCCTTAAAGGAAGGGTGAAGTAAAGCTGGTGGGGGGGGACAAGTGGATTCATACTGGAGACAGGATCCAAAAATAGCGCATTTGGGGGTAGCCAGGCCGTGTGTTGAATCCTTCAGGAGAGGCAATGTGTTGTGAAACAGGGAGGGTGGAGGGAAGCGGGGGAAGTTGCCCTTGGGGCAGTTAAAAGTTCACGTGTCCAGGTTTGCTCCCCATGGCATCAGCATCCCAGGGACACCTCTGCCTGCGCCGCGGTGCCTCGGGGCCGGGCTGCAGCCACATTCCCTGGCTCCAGCTGGAGTGGGGCTCGCCCGACCGCAGGAGCCCGGCACAGCCGCAAGGTGCATCCAGCCCTGCAGAGCCGCAGCCCGCGTGGCCCCGCGCCAGCAATAATAGTTTGGGTTTAATTAAAGCAGTATTTTTCATCTTCTTCATACATTATTTGGTTATTACTTCAGAACGAGCCAAGGAATTCTTGTATTCCCCTCACTCCCTCCCTTTCTCTTTTAATGTGCTTTCTACCCCCTTCCTTCTGCCCTTTTGGTCTCTTTTCCCTAATCCCCCAGGTTTTAACTTTTTTCAGCTGTCGTTAAGCTGTTAGGACAAGGAAGCCCAGGGTTTGTTAAGGACTCATTCATCCTGGTGGGGTTGGCTGCTGGCAGGGGTGGGAGATGCTGGGGGGAAGCGGCTCAGAGTGCCCTGGCTGGGCAGGCAGGAGCTCGCGGGTAGAGAGGTTCCATCACAGGGGACGGGAGGGTGCTTCTCTGGCTCAACGAGTCCAGCACAGGCTCGGATGAGATTGGCACCGAGTCCTTTGTGCAGCACCAGCACAGTGCGAGCGGCAGCTCAGACCCGGCTCTCTGAGGTGCTATTAAATGGTGCAGTGCTCAGCCGGTGCCCTGCAGTGAATCAGCCTCTCCTGGCTTTTTGTCCTGCCGTGCCAGCACTGCCCACGGAGAGCAGCGGGGATGGGCTTGTCCTGGCTGATGCCTCCGTAAGAGAAAATGTATTTGCAATGAATGCTTTGTTCCCAAACACCCTCTGCCCAGCGGGGTCCTTGGGCTGGGGCTGCAGGGTCCGCCTGCCTGGGGACACACCAGTAACACTGTCGTTCCTCTCCTTCCCCAGACCCTTCCCGTCGGAGGAGACCACGGAAAATGATGACGATGTGTATCGGAGCTTGGAGGAGCTGGCAGAGTAAGTGGCCTCACCTTGTCATGGGGGGACGTGGAAAGGGAAAAATTTCGTTGTGGATCCAGCAGAGTGGGACGAAAGGTGACAGCGGGGCTGGCAGAGCCGTGTCGGCTGCTTTGATCATCATACCAGGTGATCCTTGTGCTCTTGCAGTAGTCTGTCTATTCCCATGTAGAGCCCTGGGAGGCATCACTTGTAATAGGGTTGAGTGTATGGGGGGCTTATTAGGGGACTTGGGTTGCTGAGCCCATGGGGAGCTCCTCTGCCTGCTAAACCCATTGTTAGCTGCAAGATCCAGGGCTGGGATCCATCCTCCAGGATGGCTGAAGCCAAGCTGCTCGCTGGGTCCAGGAGGGTACTCATTGCTAACTCAGTGCTGGACCCCCCGCCATGGCATTTTGGGGCTGTGCTGGTGCTGGCACATGGGTCTGCATCCCCTGTGCATGATTTCAGACCGCACCAGCCAAAATCACAGGGGATGCAGATCAGCGATCGTCCCGCCTGTCCCTGGTGCTTGGTGGGCTGTGGGGCGATGCTGCTGCGGTTTCTGTGTCTGTGTTTGTCTGTGTCTCTGTGTCTCTGTTTTGCTGCCCATGGTGATGATATAACAGGCTTTTAAAAGCAACCTTGAACTGCAATACACGGTGAAACGCGGGTGCTATCGGCATTCAATGGCAGCGTTCTCGCCAGCCAGGGTTTTACTTAACCAAGTGCAGTCTGTTTCATCTGGAGGGAAAGTCTGCATGGGTGGATATGTGGCTTTATACAGTTAAATATTATTGTTCCACAACATAAATAATAAGGCTTTTTAATCCAATGAGTTCCTTATGGCTTCAGTTATTACAAAAGTAAATCATAAATTACTAGCCGAGGGAAGGGAGTACCCTGGAAGCCCCCACTCCCAGTCTGCTCCAGCAGCTACACTTTAATAACATTTTAACTTATAGAGGGATCCTTTCAGGAACATTTTTCTCTCCCTCTCAGAAAGTTCTCAAAATCCCTTTAATATTGGGGTTTAAATTCCTGATTCTCACACAGAAATGTGCTGTTAATTGCAGAAGGGTTTGTGTGTGAACTCACACCCAGCGCTGGTGGCTCCTGCAGGGGGTCCAGGTGAAGCTTCCCAAGCTGCTTCTTGGACCTTTGCTCGTGGCTGTGAGTTGGCTCCCCTGTGAGAGGGTCTGGGATGCCCAGGTCCTGCACTTGGATGGCTTCAAGGTTTATTCCTTATCGATCCCTCTGCTTTTTCCCATGTTGTCTCCAATTTCTAACTTTCTCTTTCCCCCCATTCTTTGCAAAATCCTCTTCTTTACACCTTCAGTAAGGACCCCTGGGGGAAGGCTCCTGTAAACCATGGGGGTGTTGCAATAATTCCTTCATCCAGGTCTGTGCTCCTGGTGCAGCCAGGTTGTGCATGGAAACGCAAGCCATGGAACGGGGGCGTGGTTCACCCCTAATGTAGAAATCCCGAGAGCCGCTCAGCACCAGTGCTGCCATCCCACTGCCTGCAGACCCACCAGCAAGAGTCCCCCTTTCTCCTTTGACAAGAGCATCTCTCTGGCTTGACAAGGAAAGTTTCACTGGAAGCTTGCTGATCACAATGGTGCGTGCTGGGCACCGCTGCTGGGTGCTGGCAAACGTGGGACCACATCAGAAAAGCTCTTTCTTCGCTGCTGCCGATCTCCAAACAGCTGAACAAAGGCATCATTCACGAGCTGGGCATGATTCAGTCCATCCAGCATCTTTGCATTTAATATTGCTGATGATCCAGCAGCCTTGGGAAGATCCAAGTGCACCCGAAATGCTTCATTGGAGGCAAGGAAGTGATTTCCACAACAAGCAGTGAAGCTACCCAGTGCATGAAAGGAACCATGACCGAGCTGGAGGCAGCAGTCCTCCTTTTTGGAGGAGAGACCCCACCTTTGGGTGTTTTTTTCCACACTAATGTGGTGCATCAGTGCAGCTGTTTTTTTCCTTTGGATCATTTTGGCAGGATGAATGGTTCTGCCCATAAGACCACTGTAAAAACCACTGTGCTGCTGCAAGTGCCCAGCCTTCTGTCCCTGACGGGCCGAGGAGGGATGATCCCGGTGGACTCAGCACCACCGGGAGAGATGAGTGTCCCAAAGGGAGCTCTCTCTGGGCATTGTGCTGCTTGGATAAGCTCAGGTTAAATATTGAGCAGTTTCTAACGAGACATTTTGGGGGCTGGTAAAAGCGGCTGTTTTGGAGAGCATCAAAACTCCTCATTTCAACCCCAAACGGAGCGGTCTGGTGCTCACCTTCAGTATCACGGGTTACCCTGGGCTGCGTGCATCTCCCCGGCGCTGGGTCAGCCCCAGCAGGTCAAGGCAGAGAAGTGCCTGGAAGCGGCTGTTGTTTAAAACCCCCAACGAAGCCCAGCGCAGGAGCCAAGAGAGCAGCTGGTGCTGGGGAGGGACGGGAGCACGGCACAGAGGGTGTCCGGGGAGCCTGGGACTTCTCTTTCCCTGTCCCCAGCCCGCTGGCCCCTGGGTTTGCTGCGCGGGCAGATGGCAGGGCAGGGGCGGCCTCTGCGAGCGGAGCCTCCTCCATGCTGGGGAGCAGGAAAGGGCCGTGCCCCCTCTGCTGCCTGCGCTGTCCCAGCGAGCCCGGAGCCCAGCGCAGCAGCCGGGCGGGGGGAGCCCGTGGGAGCTGGCCCTGCAATCAGTGACCGTGCTGCTCGTGCTGAGGATGCTCCCGCAGGTCTGCAGTGATGGGAGCTGCTGCTTCCCACGTGGCTGCTGAGCATCCTCCCCACCGACCGCTTTCCGTCTCTGGTGGCTGTTTCAGCTGCCCCAAACCCCTCTGGTGCTTCTGAAGTTACACCTCACATTTCAGTTAGATTTGCTGTGCTGCCCCTTAATCTCTCTCCAGTTATTTTCTCTCATTAAGCTGATGAGAGCCTTTGATTCTGGTCCTCTTCACAGCACCAGAATGTTTTCTATCACGAACCTTCTGCACTTCATGGCACTGTCCCTCTGTGGTGGCACAAAGGCCAGCAGATTCGGTGGGTTGCACCCACCATGTGGGGTGGGGTTTGGGTTGTTTTGTAGCTGTTTGAGGAATTCAGGCAGGTAGAATTGCTATGAATAGTTTGACATGATGAAACATTTAATTTGCATGATTTCTGCCTTTTTTTTTTTCATCCCTTCCGAAGGGAATTGGTTTGAAGGGAGAAGCTGTGTTGTTGTAAAAAGGGCAAAGCCAGTGTTTTGAACAGAAGCTCCCCACCAAGCCCTGCACTGGAGCCAGGAGCTTCATCCCACAGGTCGGTGTTTCCTGGTCTTGTTGTGAGCTGCATCTCACTGGAGATTTGTCCCCAGTGGAAGCACTGGGGATAGTGAGGTGTTCCCAAACCTGCCACACAGAGAAGGGGAGTTGCAGGAGATCTGTCTGGCCTCAGTTCCTCAAGCAATGCAGCTCAGTGGGGCACAGACTTTGCCACCAACCTGTCTTCTGCCACGAGCTTCCTGCTGAAGGTTCTCCTTCTTTCACTGCTGTCACCAGCGTTGCCTCCTTGCATCTTCCAAGGCAGTGATGTGCTCAGCAGAATTTCTCTAGCGCGTTAAAGCAGTACCGAGTAGAGGAGCCAAGGTGAGATAAGTTAGCTGCCACTTTTTTCCTGGGCTTTGTAGTGTTGGAAAAGCCACACTTGCCAGCCAGTTAAATGAACGGCTCTGTGGGATACAGCACTCGAGCCTTTGCACTTGTAAATGTGTCTTTTCTTCTTTGTCACCAGTAAAGGATTCTATATGTGCTGCTACTGCCATTGCTGGGATCATGCTAGCTGCTGTAACTGGGTGAGGCTCATTCTTGGGATTATAATGTTCCTCTTTGAATGGGGAACATAAGACCTGAATGGAATAGATGGCAAAAGGCTTCTCCTGCTATTTCCAGACATGTGTCTCCATCCAAGTACAATCTGGCTAATTAAAACCCTGCAAGATCTCACGTTCAGGGGCTGCACACCTTGCACTCCTTCGCCCTGAAACACAAGCCTGCCAGATGTGCTGCAGATACAGGACTCTGCTTGTCCCTGTCTGACAGGGACCCTGAGTGAGGGGGCTGCTCGGATGAACTCCCTATTTATAGCTGTAAGTGCAGAGTAAGAATGAGAAAGTGGAGGATTACTGGGGTGAACTGGAGCCTGGCAGCTGTCCTGGGGAACCTGCACATTCCTTTCCAGCCTGGACCTGGCAGGGCTCTGAGGTCTTCTGGCTCTGAACCTCAGCCACAGGGCTGGAAATCTGGAGCTCTGTTTGGGTTGTCGTATTTTAGCTCCTCTCCCTCCTCCTCCTCTGACTTCTGCTCTTGGTGGTTCTGGTGGTTCAGAGCGAGAGCAGCGTGTGCTGGGTTTGCCCTGAGGCCTTGCTTGGGCTCATCTTCAAATTCTTGAGCCTGGTACAAATCACATTCCTGGAACAGCTTTAATGGATTAGGAGGTTCTTCAGTGGCCCTCAAGACCTTCAGAGCTTCCCTGATTACCCTCCTCATCCACACGGGTTCCCAGCAGTGGGAACAGTGGGACCGGTGCCTTCACCCAGGGCAGTGAGGTTCTTCCTCAAACTAACTCCATTTTGGCTTCCTATCTGGGGGAATGGCACCGGCAGGTACTGGGATCATGGAGGAACCCTGCTCTTCTCCAGCTCCCTCCTTCTGTATCCCTGTTTATCCCTCACTCCGAGGCAGCAGCTTGGCACCGGTCCCACTGCTAAGGGAGCTGCTCCTTGGCATGGCTGCTGCCTGCTTGGGCATGTACTGAGCAGGCATGGCCAAGGAGGAGGAGCTCAGCCAAAAGCATTGGTTTTGCCTCAAATTGCCTTAGGTATGAAAAGCTTTCCTGGCAAGGCAAGGTGCTGCCAGCCCAAAGCTGGTTCCATCCATCCCAATAGCAGTAATTGCAAATGCTGGCATGAATTCTGAAGGGTTCATAAAATCCCTTCCTAAACCCAGAGCTGTCAATGTATCTCCTAATCCAGGCAGTAGATCATAGGCTCTGATACCTGTGGGTAACTTGCAGGCTCTGCTGCTTTTATTGGAGGAGTAAATTGCTTTTCTTTGTGAAGAACAAGGTGAAGGTATGGCTTTCCTTGCTCAAGTTGTTCAGTCTAGGCATGACATGCTTGGGATGCTGAATTTATTGCCTCCCACAGCAGGGGTCTGTGCTGAACACAGAAAATACCTGCCTTGCTCTCCTTTCCCTTATGGCATTTAACACCAGTGTGTTCTTAGGTTGCCACTGGCTAAAATCATCCCAATGCCTGTTCTCTTTTAATGATGGGGAGGGGGTGTGTGTATTTTCAACCCTGGCAGACAAAGTGCAGAGGCTGATGTGGATCAACATGAGCAAAGCATCAGCATCAGCCGCTGTGCACGTGCCAGGAGAGGCTCATCTGCATGTTTTACTGCTCCCTGTAAAAGCAGCACCTCTGGTGTTCCTCAGAGGTGTACTGGGCATGGGTTTAATAAATAAGGGTCTGCTGGACAAAGGTGCTGTTGTTCTAACACCACCATGGCTATCGGGTTTGAGCATCTCTGGTGCCTCTCCCCTAGGCTCTGAAGTGGAGGTGTCTTTCTAGATGGCCCCAGGACCAGGGTTGTTCCTAATTTTTTCCTGATGCCAGAAACTGGAGATGGGGAGTGCTTGTATTGGTGTGGATGGGCGGGAGCGAGTGAAACAGCGGGGCTGAGCCCCTTCGATAGAGCAATGAAAGTGGTGAAGTGCTGTCAGGATGTGGCTCCATGTGGTGGGTGCAGTATCTGTCACACGGCTCTTGGCAGCTCTGCAGGCAAATCTGCTGTGTTGTCTCTTGGTGGGCATTGCTGCCCCTTTCCTGGTGGCCCAGAGGAGCTCTGGGTAGGGCCAGGCTGGGGGAGGTCAGTGAACCCCCGTCCTTCTCCAGGCAGCCTGAGATTTAGCAAAACCCCGTCAGCATCTCACGCTGCCTGCTGGGTTCCTCACAGTGATGTCCTGGTGTGTGCCCAGCCGCAGACCAGAGCTGGTGGCTCCTTGGTGATGGAGGAGAGGAGGCCCCTCTGCAGCACCAGGCTGGGGTCTGAGGATTGGACGTGGCACCTGGTTGTGCTTGTGTGGGGAGAGGATGCTCAGGATGCGGGGCTCTGGGGTCATCTCAAGATGCTCTGTTCTCCTTTGCACATGGCCCATACCAGCCATTGAGCGGCATCAGGGCTCAGCTCCAGCAGCAGCATCCCGCAGCTCTCCTGCAGTCGTGTCACACCAGCCGGGCTCCTGCTCGGGACATTAACCCAACCATACGTTCCCTAATGGCCCTCGAGCCAGGGGAGTGATGTATGGAGAGACAGGCAGGAATCTGAGAGGTGCGGGCGGGAACATTCATCAGGATCTGGGAGTTACTTGGTCTGGATAAGGAGTGAGAGAATATAAATATTGGTACAGATAATGCTGGTGACGGCGACACTTGGGAAGGGGAAGATGGATCACCAGCTATTAGTAGGCATTATTACAGCAGCTGCAATGCATCATTCAGGGAGAATGGGATGGATACATCACGCCAGTGTATTTATTTAAAATCCCCAAATTTTTATTAAATAAATCTGTTTATAAAAATAGAAAGAACTGTATTTAGAAAAGAAATAAAGCCGAGTTTTGTAAGCAGATGTACTCTGCTGCTCTGTGCTATGTAGTTTAGAGATGTCGAGTGTTACAGTTTGAGTGCAGTTCTACACCTAAATATATTTGTCTGTAATTAATACCCATGTTGAATGAGGCAGCTCATAAAACACCGAGCTCTGTTTGATATTCCAGCGTTTCATGCTGTGCTGATCCCATGGGGCTGACTTCAGTGGGAGCCGTTAGCAATCAACACCTGTGGATCTGAGAGCTAAAATTGCTGCTCTTAATTGGTATTTACTATGGGTTGAATTTTCAGAAGTGCTCTAAGACTTGGGAGTCCCTGGCAGGGCTGCATAAACTCAGATGGCAGCTCAGTACCTCACAGCATAAGCTTTAAACACAAATTGAGCTCTAGTGATGCCTTTCAAGCACGTGCTTGCAGGGGCGTCTCCAAAGTGATGTGGCTGATTTTGAGAGCATGACTTTTGCTGCTTCATTTATCTTTGTTGTAAACATTATCACTGGCCTCTGCTCAGAACTGGGGCTGAGCATCACCAGGCTGAGCATCAGCCAAGCTCACCTTATGGTGGCCAGGAGAGCGCTCCCCTCCTCTGGGTAACATTAGAGGTAAAATCGCCCAGTTTGCCCATCAGTGCAGGGATTGTGCTTCATGGGACTCGGTGTATCCCCAGAGAAGCTGGATCTGGAGCTTTTAAACCTGGACTGGAGGGAAGTGGGGCTGTGGCTGGTCCAGGTGTCGCTGTGGGTCCTGCACAGCCCTGTCACACTCCCCCTCAGTGAGGCAGGGCTGGGATGCTTCTACCTGTGCACGGAGTCTTTGGGTGATTATTCAGTGATTACTGGGTGATTATTCAAAGCTTTACTGCTTTGAATGGACATGGGCTCCTTCACCAGTTTGCAGCCCCCACTGGGGGAAAGGAGTGATGTTTTTTGCATGAAGAAGGTCTTTTTTGTTGGAAAAAAAAGCATGATCAGACCAAGAATGAGGCAGTGCTTTAACATGCCAACATCCAACCCACTAAAGTGTATTCTCTAAGTGTAACGTAGGTAAAGCCACTGGCACAGGAGCTGCTCTCTGTCCTGAAGAGGAGGCAGGAGATGAGCAGGAGGCTGTGGGCAGCTCCGGAGGCTGGTGGGGCTGGCCCTGGTGGCTGCAGCACCTCGATGGTCCTGCTGAGTGCTCTATGGGACGAGCACAAACTCTGCAGGAGCAGAGCTGGCAGCTGATGCTGGAGCAGCATCGCCACGCGCTCAGCACAGGGCTCAGAGCAGTGTCCTGGCTGCCATCCCTGCCCGTGCCTTTCTCCTTTCTCATCCTCCGGTGAGCGGGAAGAGATGTGCAGTGGGTACTGATCTGGGAAGACGGAGTCTCCTGATGCAGAGACTGTGGGCTGAGCCCATCAGCGCTGTGGGCTTTTTGTATTGTCATGGTTGTCCTCCTTGTGCCAAGGTGGTCACTGGCTGGCCTGGGGCAGAGGCAGTGACCTTGGCAAATGGTTCCCCTTCTCATTCCAGTGAGCATGACCTGGGGGAGGATATTTACGACTGCGTCCCCTGCGAGGATGAAGGCGATGATATCTATGAAGATATCATCAGAGTGGAAGTTCAGCAGCCCATGGTAACAATTTATCTGCATTTTTAAAGCTGCACCTTGATGGGAGGGGAAGTGGGAGGGTTCAATTAAATAAATAACCATCCACCCATGACAAGTGATGCTGCAGGGGAGTGAATGCTTTGAATCCTGAAACTGAGCTCCCTCGCAAGCAGTAAAAGTGAGCTCAGGTGGGACGGGACCAGCCCAGAAGGGCTTCCCTGAGGGGCACCAGGGGCCGGCCGGTGTCGCACAGCCGGGCAGTGCAGGGTTCCGGTCAGTAACTGGCAATTTACCACTGTCCCCTCCTCAGTGCTGTCCGTTTTCCTGCACACTGCTGCACAGCGATGGAGCCCATGGCTCCGACTCCCTTCCTCCCCTTCCCTGAGCAAAAAAAGTCTATTTTAAATAGAAGCACCCCTATGTCTGGCCAAGTGTTGGGATTGTAAAGATTTGTTGCAGTTATGTGTGTGTCATGCTAATCCAGTTCTTGTATTTCTGCATGCTTCAGATCAGATACATGCAGGTAAGATGCATTGATTGAAATACTGGTTTCCATCCAGCACATACGTCTGAGCTAGGGGTTGTAAGGGGGTGTACAGAGGGTCCCCGTTCCTGCACAAGAGCAGTGAAACCCCACTGCTGAATCATGTTGAGTGTGTTGAAACGTATTGGATAGTACAGACAGGATCCTTCCTAATTTTTCTGGATAAAAATAGTTTTCTTTAACATAAAGCAGTAACAGAGCTCTCCTGACTTCCCAGGCTTGAGCTGGTTCTGGGTTGGCTCTCATTGAAGGCTGACTGGAGCTCTGTGCTGCATGAGAAGGTGGCTGGACCATTCTGGAGATTATTATGTGTTGGTTTTCCTTTTTTCTAGAAAATGGGAATGACAGAAGATGACAAAAGAAATTGCTGTTTGCTAGAAATCCAAGAAACTGAGGCCAAGTACTACAAAACACTTGAGGATATAGAAAAGGTAAGAACTGAGGCATCTCCTCTATGCTGTCACCTTGCCGTCATCCTGGTCTCCCATTAGTCTTGCTGTACTGGTTGTCGCAGTGAGAGCTGGCAGATGTTGGGGCAGGATCGATGTGTTCACATGTAAAACTGGAGAGGGAGATCCAGAAAACCCATCCTGACCGGCACAAGTGCGCAGCCATAACTGCAGGAGCCAACCAGCACGTTTTTGTCTGCTCAGTGCCTGTTGGAAAGAGGCTGAACCCATCCCACTGTGTCCCCTGCCTGGGCTGGAGGCTCAGCCACTGTGCGTGCCCATAGGAGCCGAGTCCGCAGATCTCATTGCGTGATTGCCATGGGATCATTTCTTCATTCGGGGTGTTTTTCAGAGGTGCTGGTTTTTCATTTGAACTAATTGCATTAAAAGTAGCATTTTGCTGCTTAAATTCACAGGGTTTTATGGGCTTTCATAAATTATCATTGTGTCTTTCAAATCAAAGTGAGAACGAGCACCTCAGCACGGCAGCGGAGTGGTGGGCATGGCTGGAGCCTGGCGTGGTTTTTGCCCCGAGGAAAGCAGCAGGAATGAAGAGCAATAGTGAAAATCCAGCTGCCATTTCCAATCAGCCCAAAACGCTTTTGGTTCCTCCCCTTTTGCAATTATTTGCCTCTGTTTGCTGCAAGTTCCTGTGAAAAATCATAGAATGTGAGGGAAGCTGGCACGATGGAATAACGTTTCCCATTTTCCATGAAAACGTCCCAGTGTACATGTCATTCACATAAGTAACCCTTGTTCCTTGGAAACAGCCACAGCCCTCCTGGTTCACTCCAAAGGAAGAGTTAAATTACAGCTTTCATATCCATTAGAGAAGTTCGTAAAGGCCTAGTGGGTTCTGATGGTGGGTTATGGGTATGGCTCATCACATGAGGGATGGTTTTGTAGCTACAAGTCATGGGGACGTTTCTATTAATATGTATTTGTTCAGAAAGGCATTTCCGAAGCAATCACATTATCGGTGCCTTCCCAAGGGCAGAATTCTGGTGAGATAATCAAAGAGCTGAATTATTCCTGACTGCAGTGGGGGAAGGATCTGTGTGTGTGCAATCCCCTCCCGGGGCAGTGGGACAGGGGCTGTGCCCACCCTTGGGGGGGGTCCTGCACCTCCCCATGCCTGGAAGTGCCACGGGGAGCTCAGGGGGGTCCTGGCCCTGCTGGGGTCCCTGGCACAGCCTGGATTGGACAAACACACAGTCGTTCATCTGCCTTTGCAAGTGCTTAAATTGGTTAAAACCCAGCTTCTCCCTGCCAGGTAACTGCAGCCGGTAAAGCAGGACCCCCCACCTCTGCACCCCCCCCCCTTGTCCTCGCCTCTCCAGTATTTCAATCCCTTTTCCATTTACCTCTTGCAGAACTATATGAACCCACTGCGGCTGGTACTGACTCCCCAAGACATGGAAGCTATCTTTATCAATTTGGAGGTAACGGCACAGGCATTGTGGCTTAAATCTGTGCTCCTTTCACGGCAGCTCAGACCTCTTCTGCTTAAGAGGAGGGGGACAGATTTCATATGAGATTTGTGCATTCACCTGTAGAGGTTCAATCCTCCATGTGCTGCGGAGCTTGCACGGGTTTAGGAGATATTCTTTAACACTCAATTTTAGAGTTGGGGATTATATGAACTCCAGGTAAGAAAACAATTTTATACGGAGAATGTTGCAGGGCTGGGGCTGTGTATTTCAGCTGTACTTAGTGGTGGTTGGGGCACACTGGGATGAAGGGATTTATTTCCATGCTGAGGTCTTGGTCAGAGCCTGCCCATCTCCTCTGCTGCTCCAGGCCTCCAAAAGGGACTTTAATACACATGGAAATGCGGGGGCATTTATCGCTGAATAACCTCCTGGTGGAATTACACCCGTGTACTCCCGGCCATCTAGGGCTGCATCTCACTAGAACAACTTACTCTAAAAGCAGCTAAGAAAAGGGGAAAAGAAAAAAAAGAAGAGAAAATGCCTGTCTGATCTGGCAGTGAACGTGTGCTTCTTCAGGCTGTTTGTGCCCACTCGCTTTGGATGTGTTTAAAGTATTGATTGGGTTTTTTTTGTTTAGGACCTAATTAAAGTGCACTTCAGTTTCCTGAGAGCCATCGACGTCTCTATGATGTCTGGAGGAAGCAGCCTGGCAAAAGTGTTTCTGGAATTCAAAGAGAGGTAAAGGAGCCCTGGTCTCCAGGCAGCTCCAGTTTGTACAGAGCTGGGATAACGATTGCAGGGCTCATCTCTGAGCTTTGGGCAGAAGTGCAGGTCACAGCAGACCAGGTTTGTGTCCTCCACAGCTGAATGCTCTCAAGTGGCTGGAACATTGCTCGGTGCTGACACTTCCAGCCACAAACACGTCAGGCTGGGACATCTCTCTGACCACCATGGCTGATGCATGGGGTTCCTGTGGGCGCTTGTTCCTGCACGCCTGTGTCCATGCCTGAACATTGCTGGGCTCAAAGCATCCTGCATGAGACTGGCTGGTTGCAGGCTGAGCATAGAATGTGTTTATAGGGATGTAATGATAGGAACATCATGGATATGGTGAGCTGGAATGGAGTAAAACCTCACTTGTCTCCATGGGTTTAGCGTAGTCTCCTCCCACGAGCAGCACTGGGGCTTTGAGGGGCTGTGGTGTGGTGGGATGAGTCCTTGCTCTGGTGAGATCAGAGTGATGGCTCATGCCCAAACACCGCGGGTTTGGCACCGCTCTTGTCGTGCACCTATAGCATGATGTGTAAATGTAGAAGTTGCTTTCGCAAACATAATAGATTCTGTGTTTTGGCAGCTGAAGGCAGGAGTACCCCAGAACGCGAAGATAAGGTTAATAAAAGCCTTTAATATCCTTAATAGTAATCAAAGGCCTGAATCATCATGGATTCTTGCCAGGGTGTTATTTCACTGTGATTAAACCAGTGTCTAGACACAGAAATGCCATTCAGAAGTCAATAATTGCAGAAATACCATCTGCATTAATAACACACCGTAAGGTCAGATATTCCATCATTCCCAGAGACAGCCCCTTGTTAAAAAGGAAATATCCTCTGAGTTAAAAGAAAAAAAAATCCAAAGAAGAATGCAAATAATTTAAAAATTTGGGGTCAAAGCCACCAAAACGGGGCTCTTGGGGATGAAGAGTTTTGAGCAACCTGATCTAAATAGGCAGGGTCTTCTCCTATGTCAGGAAAGTCCATGATCCCACATTACAGCAGGGAAATGGGGGTGGAGGAAGAGGAGGTGAGCTCACCTGGGGAGACAGCATTGCCCCACCAAGAAGGGAACCTGGACCTCCAGAGTGCCCACTTGGTTCCTGTATGCAGGACCTTCCCCCATCGGATGTATCTGTGACAAATAGCTCTCACTTCCCTGCGCACCCTCAGAGACCTCCCGGCGCAGTGATGTATTGCTCCTCTGCTTTGCAGGCTGGGCTTTGGTGGGGTTTTTTGCAGGAAATAGTTTGTAAATCTTTTTCTCTGAAAGCCAGAGGTTTGAATTTATGCTCCTGAAGCCTCTTTGAAATTCTCTGAGTGCTGGCAAGGTAGATACGATTGTGCATGTTCAGAAGTTGTCAGGGGGAAAAGGCAGAAGAGTAATCTGTATTGGCTGCTGCTTCGCCGGGGACTGCGGCTCCCATAAATCTCCCCATTCAGTTCCTTGCCAGGGTCTGAGAGTCCCGTGTTCATGGAGTGACACCGGGTCAGGTGCTCCCAGATTGTCTCCATTGAGAGATGAGGCTCCAAAATAATGGATGAGTTGCAGTGTGTAATGGAATATGTGTCTTATCAGCAGCAATGCAGTTAACGGCAAGGAAGGGGGGAAAACCCAAACCTGTCATGCAGGATTAATGAGTGAAGTGGAGGAAAATGGGGGAATCCACAGTAAAACTGCTCTGGTTTTGTCAGTCTTTAGATTTATAGCTCTGGGTGTCCATACAGAGCCTCACCGTGTTTCCAAAGGCTGTGACATGGATCAGGATGGACCAGGAGTTTCTTGCTGCCTTCTTCCCTACTTGGTGAAATACCCACAAACCCGTGGGGAGAGGGACACTCATCAGCCACGGTGCTGGCGATCGCCTTCTGGGCCGTGAGCAGCTGTGGCTCAGGAAATGAAGGCTCTTGGGGAGATGAATGTGTGGGCTTGAGCGAGATCACTCGGAAATGCTCTCGGAAATGGATTTTTGTCATTGTTTGGGGTTGCAGCACATCCCGGCTCTGCCTCAGCGAGCCCTGGTGCTGATGTGGCACAGCCGGAGCACCGGAGCGGGGGGTTGTGGCGATGGTGGGGTCCTGAGAACAAGCTGACTGGCAGACGAGGTTGGGCTGCAGGGTTCAGCACCCAACCCCTCCTGCTCTAGACCCTTGCTGGGGTGGGAGAGGCGAGCACTGGTGGTGGTGCAGCTTGTGCACGGGTCGGCGCCAGCTCCTTGCTGCTTCTTTGCACATTAGAGCTGTCATACCTGGGGTGCGGGTACCGCCTTGTAACTGCTCTAGGGAAGGTCTTTCATTGTGGAGCTGGGGTTCTCATGGTGCTCTGAGAAGAAGTGGTTAAATACATCCCACTGGGGAGCGGAGGGATGAGGGATGAGGTATGGAGCCTCCAAAAATGGGCTCCTCTGGCCACTCCTGTGAGCTGAATCACCCCCACGGGCTGCAGCTCTGGAAACTTCAAACGATTTAAATGTTAAAAAGCCATGCAGTAAAAAAGTGTTAATACTTTGCTAAGCAGTTATATGGGAATAGCTGTTTGCCTTGTCCTTTTGCTGTATATAAGCATATATATCTTTTATAACAGGTTATAACTGCCAGCAAGTGTTTCCGATTAACTCGGTGATTTCCCCTCTCCAGGCTGCTGATTTACGGCAGGTACTGCAGCCACATGGAGTACGCCCAGAACACGCTCAACCACCTCCTGGCCAACAGGGAGGACGTCAGGCAGAAGGTGGAGGTGAGTGGACAGTGGGTGAGGGCTGCCCACCCCGGGGACTTGCTGGAGAGCAGTGTATTGGGAATGATTTAGCTAGAGAGGGGAGGGATGTGGGGTGAGCCTGTGCTGCCCAGAGAGGGAGCAAAGCTGGGGGTTGTCTTGTCCTGATCCCCTGCTTGCCCCTCATCTCCCCACCAGACACATGCCCTGTCCTTATCCCCGAATTTATCCAGGTTAAACCAATCCAGGTGACTGTTAGAGAGGGACTGGCTGTGGACAAGTTCCTCTTTTGAGTCATGCAGGGAGACCCAAAGGTACTGAGTGTCCCCAGCCAGGAGCTGTGTGGCTTCCCAAGGTCACACACGGTGTCAGGGACAGTCCCCATGTCCCCAGGCGAATGCTCAGGGTGCTCCCTGTCCTCCTACCCAATGTAAAGGCTTAGCGTAAATAGGGTCTGATCCAGATATTCAGTAAATCAAAGGAGCCCCAGAAGGGATGCTTTGTTTGAGCTGCTGTTTTTACCCAGCTTTAATTCCTGCTTTGGTCTTGATGCTAATCTGAGTTTGCTGGGCTGTCTGTACATGTTACGTCGCTTTCTGCAAACGCTCTTTGATTTTACCATGCAGAAGCAGCAGCCCAGCTCAGGGCTAAAACTGGGTTTAATCCTTTTTTAAAGCCTGTTCTCTGGATCTCACATCAAGCCAACGGTTGTAGCACCCACTTGCTCCTGTGCTTCTCCTTCCCCTCCCTCATCTTCCGGGGGACACACAGGGGTTCTCAGCCATTGTGGCCAAGTCACGTATCTAAATGGGTCTGGGTGAAGGGACCAGTCACAAAACTTCCTGCGATCACATTTGCTCATCTCAATGACTTGATGCTTATCAGCGAAGCCACAGCGACCATCTGTGCTTGCTGCCAGTGCCTCGCAAAGGAAACACATTAGTTCAGCCCATCCAAGAGGTGAGCTCAGCTAATGCACCTGCTCTGACATTTCCCAAGGTCTGAGAGCACCCGTGAGCTCCCCTAATGAGCAGTCTCTCATTAAGCTGGAGTAGCTCTGCTCAGTGGGAACAGCTGCATTTGAGAGTCCAGCCCCTGTGTTCTATTCCCTGATAACCCCTCTGGGTGCACACAGGGACCACGAGCCATGGGCTGGGTTACAGAAGCAAAACCTACCAGCCACAGGACATGGGTTTTTTTTTTTCATGGGGACCTGTTTCCCCCAGCTGCCTCACTGCTGATGCATTGATTTCTTTCATAGGAATGCACACTAAAGGTCCAGGATGGGAAATTTAAATTGCAAGACCTGCTGGTGGTTCCAATGCAAAGAGTTTTGAAATACCATCTCCTGTTAAAAGTAAGTGTTTCGGTGTTGCTCTCCAGCTGCCATCCTCTGCCGTAGCATCGTTCAGCTTTTACAGTGGAGAGTGAATCGCTGCCAAATGCAGAGTGGGTTGTTGGGTTTTTTCCCCCTTCAAATGAAATAATTACTAGAGCTACTTAACATGACATAATATTTGTGCCGCCTCCTGAAGTACGGTGACCTAGGCTAATTCTGCACTCGTTAGCTACGAGAGGCAGTTAATGAATATAAAATAAGCTTGCATATAATCTGATTATGTGTGAAATTCCTCCCGTCAGCTCTGTGTAACAGCTCTCCCCAGCACCAGCCACTTGGCATGTTCCCTGTGCTCTGGCCACAGCTGCCTGCCCAGCATCCCACTGCCACCCCAGCACCCCTGCCACCGCCTGGCTGCTCACGGGCACGGGCAGCGTGTGGCCGCTTCCAGCATCCAAAGCTCTTTATGTCTACTTTTATTTCACTTTATTTCTGCAGGAGCTGCTCAGTCATTCATCAGACCGGCCGGAGAAGCAGCAGCTGAAGGAGGCTCTGGAGGCAATGCAGGTATGGGAGGGTGAGAGCAGAGGGTGGGGGTCTCAAGGTACAACAGAGCATGAGACCCCCCTGCCTCTGTACAACAAAGCCTGAGATGGAAAGCCCAGCCAGCAGCCTGGGGGAAGGCAGCATCTCCTCCTCCTGGACATGATTGCCATTTGATGCGATTGTTTGCAGCAGATCTGTAGTCGGCTCTGTTATCTTCCTCCTTCAGCAGCTGGGGACGCTGGTATTTGTTGACAAGTTAAGACTTTTCACTAATTGCTATTGTGTGTAAAGGGGCTGTGCCAGATTCTTGTTTTTGCTGGGAGGAATCTGGAGGAAGTCCAGATGTATCAGCAAGTCAGAGGGATTGCAGCGATGGAGCCTGTGCCTGTGTGGAGCACGGGCCGTGCGCTGACAGCCAGCGCTGCTGGAGAATCCTTTCATCCAGGTTTATTCTTATTTTTTTGTTACGGGAAGTTGCTCTTTCCACGGATGGAAACTGCACCAAATTCTGCTGTGTTTGAGGGTTTGGTTTCTTGAGCTTTTGAGCCAAAACCCCCAAGGCCGCAGGGAAATCACCAGCAGCAACAAGGAAAACCATCCAAATGTTTTGTGACTCGGGCACAAATCCCCCCGCACCGCCGGGCCATCGTCAGCACAGCCTGAGGCTGATCCTTCGCTCCGGGTTCTCTCTCTGGAGCGCATCGCAGGGTCCGTCCCCAGTCACTCCGTGCTCCCGGGTCACTGTTTTCTCAGGTTGTGTAAGGACACCGCATCTCCTCACACTTACATAAGCTGGGTGACCTTTCCAGCCATTGCCCCCCGCGCCCGGGAGCCCACAGCCCATATGTAGGTCACTTTGCAGTTCAGGTTGTTGGAAGGACGCTGCGCTCGCTGCCGCCCCGCACCTCGCCACGGCCTCGGACACGCAGCCTGGTGGCAGTTGTTAAGCCCCGCTGCCGGCTCGTGGCACAGCACCCGCCGGTGCACTGCTGATCAATAACCTCAGATCCACACCGGCTGCGCTGCAGACTGCGGGTTCTGCAGGAGGCTGCCCGGAGCCAGCGGTGGGGTTTCTCTTTCCTCACCCCGTGGCAGCCGTTTGGGCTGCTCTGGGCTCGGCGGGGCGTAGGCAGCTGTGCAGTTTGGTTCGAATTGAGCTGCAAACCGAGGCTTAGCTTACAAGTAACGCTCTTCATCAGGAACCCAGAGCTTCCGTCTGCCGTGCTGGCAGGCGCAGGCGCTGCTGCGTCTGGGCGAGAGCCGAGCAGGGGTGAGTGGAATTCCGTTTCCCAAAGGGATTCACCTGGCTTTTGCTCTGCCTCAGTGGTTGTTTGCACAAGGATTTGCACTAACAACCTGCATGTGGGAATGCCTGGTGCAGGTACCAGCCCTCCACATGAGTACACAGAACTGAGCCCATGTGGTGGTCAAGGCACTGTGGGTTCCTGGCTTGATCCCATAGTCCAGGCTTGCACGTTGCTGTTTGAAGTCGTGGTTGATCCCCCTTGGTATAGGAGATGGCCTGTTCAGCAGGAGGGAGTGGAGCTCAGTGCTCCAGCGTGATGGAGGATGCTGCTTCAAAAGCCTTTGGTTTTGACATGCTTCATAACCATCCCTGCCGCTGGCGCAGTGGGGTACACTGTGATGTTATAGGTATTGTCACGTAGATTTGAGATTATCACCTGTGATTAACCCTTCTCACACTGGGAAGCTGAGGAAGGTCTGACCCAGAGGGGATGTCTTAAAAAATCCTGTGCTCAGATTTAATCCAAGTTGACAAGAGCTATTGTTGAGGACAAGGGGGCAGGGAGCAGATAAGAGGCAAACAGGCACAGAAAATATGCTCTGAAGGGGGTAAGAAGTTGTTTTTGTGGAAGAGATGAGGTTCCTGCTCTTTGAGGGGTTAACATTTGGGTAAGCAGGGATTTTTTTCAGGGCAGAACAAGCTCCATGAACTGTCTCCTATTTTACAACCCGCCTTTGTGTGATGGGAGGTGTTGGAGGCCCGGAGGTGCTGAAGCTGGGGATGCCCCCGCAGGGTATCCCAGTGTGAGCCGGGGCAGCGCCAGCTCAAGTGCTGTTCATAGCTAACGTGCAGTCAGGTGTCCAGAGCGGTTATTTCATAGACACGGGTGTTTTGGCAGCAGAGACGCTCCCAGCTTTTGTATCCAGGGGGTACGGGAATTACAGTGATGGGAGCTGGGAGGGAAGGGTGCTGCGGGGCAGAAGCTCCAACGCAGGGATGCTTGGCCTGTCCCTCACTCCCTACAAGCCGTGGGTCGGGTTTGCTGCGCTGGGTTTGGGCATTGCCCTCTTCTGGGAAAGGATCAAAACTGCAGCTCCTGCCCGAGCAGCGTGGGCACAACCAGCCTGTGCCCAGCATGTCCCGTCTGCAGCTGGAATCCTGCTCCCACTCCTGCAGCCTGGCTTTGGGAGCCAGATCCTGTGTGCTCCGCTTCGGTGAGGTGCTCTCCATCTGGAATATTAAAACCAATATCCACTTTGCTTTTAAGGACTTGGCCATGTACATAAATGAAGTAAAGAGAGACAAAGAGACGCTAAAGAAAATAAGTGAATTTCAGAGCTCTATAGAAAATCTGGTAAGTTGGAAAACCCTCTTGCACCCAACTGTAATTTGATTACTATTATCATGCTTTTGCTATGCACTTACTGCTGAATCTGATGAGCTACCCAGGTACCAGGTATTTTAAGGAGAATCTCATCCTCCAAACTCCAGAGGTGTCAGGCACTTGGTCCCATTACTGTGCATCATCTGACCCTGTGCAACCCATCACTCGCTTCAGCCCTGAGCAAGCCCATTAATGTAACACCCAGTGCAGAGCTCCAAACTTAGGAGCTTGTTCCCACACCGGGGAGGTGGGACCTGCTCAGCCATGGGTGCAGCAGCTCCACCATCACACTTGGTGCTGGGATCATGCAAAGTGGGTGCTGACACCTGAGGTGCTTCACAGCCCTCCCTGGGGCTCCACAGAGGGGTGCTGGGTTTGGGGCTTTGAGCTTTGACTTCATTTGGAAACAGGGAACTTTTAATTGGTGGTTGTTTAACAGAGAGGCAAAATCCTTAATTTTCAAGAGGAACCTGCAAAAATTCTCCAGTGGGATGCAGGCTGCTGCAGCTCACAGGCTGTGATTGAAGCAGTCATGTGTGAACAATCAGACGTCATGCTCCATACAACAGGACTGTACTGGGGATATGAAGCAGCCCCTTCTGCTCCTTGCAGCCGCCCCTGAGCAGGTTTGACATCAGGAGATGGGGTGTCAGCAAAACCCCCACACATCCTGCTCCCCACTTCCTTTTGCTGCAGCAGGCAGGACGTAGTAGGGCGGTTGGTGTTACGTAGACAGAGCCCACACGGCAGGGCAGTGCGATAACTGTGCAGTACACACACTGCTGTCCTGCGCAGTGTGATGCTTCACAGTGTTTATTTTTTCCTGTAAGAACTGTGCAAGGGGACTGAGTCCTGTGGCTCCGTGGCCAGGCTGCACCAAGCAGTGAGAAAGGGCTTTTGAGCCAATAGACAAACTGCCCAAACCCTTGGGTTGGGTTCCAGCCTCGCCAGAATCTCCAGACTCTGTTCAGGCTAGGAATCAAAACTACAAGAGCCTGGTTGTGTAGAAAGCCCTGGGAAATAGCTTATTCTGGGGGGTGTTGCTTTCTAGATCCCAAAGCTCGCAAAAGAACTTTGACTGCTGAGCCTTGCCCTGGGATGCTGGTGCTAGAGCTCCAGGGACCTCCCGTGGTCCTGCTCCCATGCACAGGCTCCCCTTGGTGAGGGTCATGCTGTTCCCAGGAGCTTCAGCAGCACAAGGCAGGGCTGGGGGGGATGCCCCAGGACCCCGTGCCCTCAGGCAGGTTTGGGTTTCCATCATTCCAAGGCATCGTCTCAGCTGGCTGTGGGTCTCAGCCCTGCTTTGCTTTCTGCAGCAAGTGAAGCTGGAGGAGTTTGGGAGGCCGAAGATCGATGGCGAGCTGAAGGTCCGCTCCATAGTCAACCACACCAAGCAGGACAGGTGGGTGACAACAGTGCCTGGTTTTCCCAACCTCGATGTGCCTTCGTCTGGCCGTTCCCTCTGTGCTCATGTATTCAGGGATTGCCTGGAGCTGCACTGACAGAATCCACCATCAGTGTGAAACTGCAGCAGGGCTGAGCACTGAGCTGCGCTGGCTGGGGAGCTCTGCAGAGCTTTCCAAACCCCTCTCCTTGAATGAGAACTGCAGGCAGGTGTTTGAGTTGCTGCTTTATTTGCTTGCTTTGGGCAGGTATTTATTTTTATTTGATAAAGTGGTGATCGTCTGCAAAAGGAAAGGATACAACTATGAGCTGAAAGAAATTATTGAGCTGCTCTTCCACAAGATGACTGATGACCCTATGAATAACAAGGACATTAAGAAGGTGGGTGGACCAGGAATTAGCTCTGCTGGAGAGCATTTTGGAGCTGTTTCAGCCATCCTTGGGTAGTACATTCCCATTTGCCTTTTAAAATGGAAACTGAGCTTGCAAAAAAGCTGGAAAATAAATGCTCAGCTTTCAGGGCAGCCTTACAGAGCATTGGGAAATGTTTATTAATGTGGGGCTGGGCTTGATCCTTAACCTCCATCCTTGCGAAACAACCCTGAAGAGGCTGGGATGGTTGAGTCCCACAGGAGGCTGCTCCCTGCTTCCTGGCCTTCCAGCAGGGAGCAACCTGCAGATGGGATGGAGAGGAGGCAGGGCAGGGAGGGAAGGTCCGTCCCGTCCGGATGCTCTCTCTCCCATGAGTCGCGGGGTGAACGCAGCATGAGCATTGCTAACCAGTCTGCCAAAATCAGCACTGGGAGCGTGGTTGCCGCTGGAGGAGCATCATTTTGCCAGTGGTCTGGGGCTTAGTCTGCAGCCATGAAGGAAAACCTCCCAGTTGTTGGCTTAGCAGTGCCTCATTAGCTTAATCCACTTACATGCGATGGGAAAGAGGTATGGTACAGATGGGATAAGTAACATTTGGATAAGAACTGCCAATTTTGCCATTTGGATGCTGAAGAAATGCTGCTAGCTTTGTTTTAATGACATGTATTTCCACTTTGCTTTCCTATGCTTTCTAGTCTCATGGAAAAATGGTAAGCAAAGCACACAGCCTTCTCTTGTGTTTTCCTGTGCAGTGTTGTAAGTAGACAGGCAGAGCATATGTGCAGTGGGCAGGTCAGATCTGCCTCCTGGGCTGTCAGTTGCTGTCAGGGAGAGAGATGATGGCTGGGGAGGACCCACTGGAGCAGAAAAATCTGGGTTTGCTCATCTGCCACCATAAAATCCAATTTGGCCCTAGCACACAGTGCCAAAGCATCATTAGTTGTGATGTGTTTGGGAAACACAGAGCATTTCTTCTCCCTTCCCCCCGTTACCTGTGCAAAGGTTCAGCAGCCCATCAGAAGCAGGGACAGGCACTGGGAACAGTTGTTTAATGCATGAATAGAAGCGTGGTGCATTTTGCTGCTCAGGTGTGGGAGCACAGCGGTCTGTTTTCTCTCGCAGTGGTCATATGGCTTCTACCTAATCCACCTCCAGGGGAAGCAGGGCTTCCAGTTCTTCTGCAAGACGGAGGAAATGAAGAGGAAGTGGATGGAGCAGTTTGAAATGGCAATGTGAGCATAAGCGGCTGCTCTAGCTAAGTGTGGGAGAACAGTGTCTTGGACCAGCAGGTCACTGGAGATGCAGCTCCAACAGCAGCCGGTGACGGGGAAGCTCATGTGAGCTCCCTGGATGGTTCCCTGTACAAAGAGAGCTCGGGTCCAGCATGAAATCATCTACCCTGAGGGTGTGCACCAACGCATGTGGGGGCATCTCTGAAATGAGCCCTTGCTGTAGTGTCAGGCCATGTGAGAAGCTGGGGCTGGAGGAGGAGCAGGGGGAGGCTGCTGCTGGGGGGGACCGGTCCTGAGCAGGGCAGGGGCTGGGTCATGGCAAATCCATGAAGGCTGTCCCGGGGCAGGCTGATGGGCACAATCCTCTCCCTGCACAGTCGAGCCCGAGTCTCCTTTCACACTTGATTTCATCTCTGCCCCTGTGGTTTCCAAACTTGGACTGAAACGCAAACAGAGCTGCTGTGGCAGGCCTCTGGTGCAGCATCGCTCGGGTGAGAGGTCAGTAACCCCCGGTCCTTTCGCTTAGGTCCAACATAAAGCCAGAGAAAGCCAATGCAAACCACCATAACTTCCAGATGTACACATTTGAGAAGACCACCAACTGCAAAGCCTGCAGGATGTTCCTGAGGTGAGCAGCATCCTGCAGCTTGTCTGCATCTGCATTAAACCACTGACAAAATCCCAAAGCCGAGGCTGAATTAGGACTTTCTGACTTCTTGTGTTGCACAGAGGAACCTTCTACCAGGGCTATCTTTGCCCCAGGTGTGGAGCGGGTGCTCATAAGGAGTGCTTGGAGATAATTCCTCCCTGCAAAATCGGTGAGTTATTTCCCATTGCGGAGGTTTGGGGTGCAGGTAGGAAGAAACAAAATCATAGAACTTTATGCAATGTCCTTGTCCAGCTCCAGCCCCTCCCTCGGTCTTGCCCACCCCATGCAGGGCAATGGCTCTGCATTGTGCTTCCTCCATCATGTTCAAGCACTGACACTGGTTTGTTGACACCCACAGCATCAAGAGAAACAGATAATGGGGTTTGTTGCCTATTATATTCACCACTTATTTCCCCCTTTCTCTTGCAGGTTCTTCAGCAGACCAGGTACGTTGCTGGTTGCCCTTTTCCCACTTCCCTCTGCGCTGGGCACAGCCTGTATCCCTGCCCAGTCCCAGTGCAGGCAGCTTTTGGGGAAAGGCAGGGAGGTTTTGGGAGAGGGTTTCTCATCCCAGGGGCTTTGGGTAGGTGCTTATGGAAAGAGTTGAGATGGCTGTGTCCTCATGGAGACTTTTTCCTCTCTTTGCAGGACTCACTGAGTGCTGGACCTGGTAAGGGCTTTACAGTACTGCAGGAGGGCAGGTAGAGACAGGGTGTGGACCGTGGCCCAGGTGTCCCTAACATCGGGCACGTGGGAGGGGGAAGCTTCTTCCCAAACCAGAAAGGAGCTTGAGCTGGTGCAGGAGGGACCTGCGGAAAGACGTGGCTCCTCCCGGGGCTCAGCCCCAGTGTTCCTGGGTGCATTTGTGCCCCTGCCCTGCTCTGCCATGCGAGCAAAGCCTCTGCACATCCCACAGTAACCAAGGAGAGCTGGTGCAATGCCCTTTGTCAGATCTTCCTCCAAAGCAGACGGGGCCCGTCCTGGCAGGGGACTTGTTGATGGTGGGGAGCATCTTCCCAGCGGTGTGTCTGGTGTGCTGCAGGGATGTGCAGCTCCAGGCGCTGCCCTCAATGGGGCCGTTAATCCTGATGGTTACTATAGTATTCTTTGATTTTCCTTTGCCTGAAGCTGTCCTGGCCAGTGCTGGGCCTGCCCTGCCTGTGTCCTGGCTGGGAGCAGAGGGAACAGTCTGTTTCTGTGCTTTCTCTGAGGGGAGGAAAGCCAGGCCTGGCAGAGAGAAACCTGCATCAAATCGGGGGCTGAAACAAAAGCAAGCAGAGGGAGCAGGGCAGGGAGAGGCCGCGGCGGGGAAGCGTTTTGCAGATAAACACTGTTTGAGTGCAGCTGGGAAGCTCACTCTGTGTGCGGTTGCTCCCGGGACGACCGGACTTTGGCTGCGAGCTGCAGGGGCGGCTGCGTCCCGGGTCCAGCCGCTCGGTGGGAGCCGAGCGTTGGCTGGTCCCGTTTGCAGTCACTGAACCCGCGGGCTTGGTGCCAGCCAGCAGTGCCCAACGAGAGCCGCTCCCCCACGGCGGGTTCAGTCCCAGGCCTGGGTCTGTCCTTCATGGGTTTACTTTTGCTGGGGGAGCTCAGTCTGAACTCGGTGTAACTGCAGGAGCAACGACCTCTGGAGCTGGGCATTGTTCCTCTCTGCTTTCACACTTTCTGCCCCGAATCCCACCCCCTGGTGCTGTAGATTTGTGGTTCACAGGGCAAGGGACAATGCCCTTCAGGAGCGGTGGTCTTCAGTTGTTTCTCATTAACGAGGCCTATGTGATGAGACTGGTTTGCTTCCCTCCCAGGTCCTAAAATAGTGGCGGTTCAGAACTACCACGGCACCCCTGCCCCCCCCGGGAAACCCGTGCTGACGTTTCAGATTGGGGACGTGATCGAGCTGCTGAGGGGGGACCCCGACTCGCCCTGGTGGGAGGTGAGAGCTGTTCCCCGTGCGAATTCCCAGGAAGTTTGGAACCAGTGACTTGTGCATTGTCCCACAGCGCAGGGTTGTGCCAGGGGTTCAGAGCCGGGGCTGCTGTGAGGCACTTCGGAGCCTGTCCCCATCACTGCATGGCAAAGCCATTGCTCCTGCATTCACACCCCTGTCTGATGCCTGCTTGGCTTTGCAGGGGCGGCTGCTGCAGACAAAGAAGTCGGGTTATTTCCCCAGCTCATCGGTAAAGCCGTGCCCCGTTGATGCCCGGGTAAGTGCCGAGGGGGAGATGGAGCCGGGAGCACCAGGGGCTGTCGTGGGAGGTGCTGCTCTGGTGGTGCCTATTGCTCCTCTCAGCCTTCTGCTTGAGACCTTGGTCCTTCCACTGGCCTTTTGGCCTTTTACCAGGGCCAAATTAGCCAGGGATGGATCCATCATCCCATGGTTGCAAATGCCTGGTCAGGTTGGTCTCAGCCTCATTCCCAAGGTTGGGGTTGGAGTGACCAGATCCAGGCTCCATTCCTCCTCTTTGGGACTGTTTCAGAGTACTCGGGATCACTCACAGTACAGGAAAACTGCACTGTTTTCATCACTGTGTTCTGTATTGCTGTCAGCCATTCCCCAGTTACGAAATGCTCATGTAAATGAAAAATGCAGCATGCTCACCTCAGCTCAGCTGCAACACTGCCCTCCGCTGCTGAAGCCAGTAATCAGAAGCTTGGCAGATGAAAACCCCTCCCATGGCGAGGAGCATCTCGTTCATGAGCCCCGGCCTGGTGAGGCTCCGGCTCATCAGTCACCAGTGTTCTCTTTGCAGCCTCCCAACAGCCGGCCGCCCTCGCGTGAGATCGACTACACGGCGTACCCATGGTGAGTGGCCCAGCCTGCGCTGGGCAGCGCGCGGACACGACCTCCTCTGGCCATAAACACACCTTGGCCTCCCGTTTTCATGGTCCCTTTGTCGGGAAGCCGCTCTGACAGCGAGTTAGGAACGCAGGCTGGCCGTGCTTCGCATTCCACACGGGGCAGCTGCTGCAGGGGCATTTGGGTGTTAAATCTGGAGAGGCCTCGCGCCATCAGTGGGGGTTTGTTCCCCGATGGAGAGGGGCAGAGGCAGGAGAGGCGCTGGTTTCTCTTCCTTCTTTTGGTGTTTTCTGTGCCCAAAAAAACATCTGGGGAGGAAAGAAGCAATTTCTGCCTTGGCGGGAGAGGCTGCTCTTGGCTTCCCTGCTGCTCCTTCCCTCCAGCTCCAGCCAGGTTTGCACATTCATGAGTCTGAATTATCCCCATTCTCCAGCTCTTGCTAAGGCCTCATTTACCTGGGGACTGATTCCCAATTAGTGGGATTTTCTAGGTGTAAGCTCCAGGGGAAGAGGTTGTGCTCCACATCACTCACCGTCCCTGTTCAATGCCTGAGCAGCTCATTGTGTATCTCGGGGCACTTTCTTCTCCTGAAGTTTCGGATGAGACCTGTTTCCCTCTTTGCCTTCTGAACCTTCCTGGCCTTAAAAAAACATCATCTTTTTATCTCAAACGTGCCTCTTTTAAAGAGATGTGTTAATTTTTAGTTCATTAAATGCATTAGTTACGCTCTGGGCTCAGGTTTGCAGGGAACATGGAGCGGCAGCAGACAGACAACCTGCTCAAGTCCCACGTCAGCGGCACCTACCTGATCCGGGAGCGGCCGGCTGAGGCCGAGCGCTTTGCCATCAGCATTAAGTGAGAAATACTTCATTGAGTTACTCAGTCTTGCTCGTGGAGGGTGAGATGGGGCTGGGGCATGCAGCTGTGTTTTCTTGAGTGCCTTTGCTGCCATTTGCAGGTTCAACGAGGAGGTGAAGCACATCAAGGTGGTGGAGAAGGACAACTGGATTCACATCACGGAAGCTAAGAAGTTTGAAAGCTTGCTGGTAGGCTTCTGTAGCCTCCTTAGCATGCACACGGTCCCTGCAAGTCATTCAGAGGGTGAGAGACAGCATGTGCCTCTCACCCTTCCCAGGAGCTGGTCGAGTACTACCAGAGCCATTCACTGAAGGAGAGCTTCAAGCAGCTGGACACGACGCTGAAATACCCCTATAAGTCCCGGGAGCGCTCTACCTCCAGGACCTTCACCCGCTCTCCAGGTACAGCCCTCAGCAAGGGGGGGAGCGCTGTCTGACAAAGGGATTTGCAGCTTTGCTGTGGGGCTCGAGCCCCCCAGTTTGCAGCCAAGTCTCCCCTCAGCTGGTGGCACTTCGAGGCCGGGTCTCGGGGCAGGTGGTGGGGCCGGGAGGGTCTGGCCGAGCTGGGGCTGCCTGGCTCTGCTGCTCCAAGCCGAGCAGGGACGCGATGCTCTGACAGCTTCATGTGGAGCACCCTACCTGCCCATGTGAGCTTTTGTGCACGTGTTCCGGTGTGGCTTGTGATGGTTTGAATCCCAGCAGGACTCCTTTAATGGAGATGATGGGAGAAATGGTAAGTCTGTGCCTGAAAGAAAAAAAAACAACAGAAGAACTGGAAAGCAAAATGTGCATCATTGCAAAATGTTCTGTTTGTCTGAAAGCCTGAGTGCAGGAATAGCTGCTCTGTGGGGAAATGCCTTTTAAAAACCTTTCTCCATGGTTACTTAAAAAGAAAACCAAGGACAGATGGTTTTTAAAGTTGTTTAAATATCCATTCACATAAATACAACCCCAGGACGACTTTTGAGCCCCAAACTGGCCATGGGGCCATGGCCAGACCAGCTGCTGCCCCAGCTCCCTGCACAGGTCCTGCATGCTCTGCACCATGTTCCTCCGTTGGCTTTTAAAGCATTGTGCACTATAATACCTTTTTAAATTTCCTTTTTAATGCGTGTTCTGCCTCTTTCTGTTTCTCTTTAACCTCGTTGCAGCCTCCTGCGCTTCCTACAACTTTTCTTTTCTCAGTCCTCAGGGCCTCAACTTTTCTTCTCAGAGCTCCTCCAGTCCCTTCTGGTCAGGTACCAGTGCCTCTCCCCGCCGGAGAGACCCTGCCGCCCTCCCCAGGCTGCAGCAGCCCCAGCTTGAAAGCCATCGCCAGAGGGACCCGTGGGTCCCTGCTGTCACTCCATCAGCCACAGGCAGTTCAGGGGTCCCCAGTGCTGCCCTGGGGCACAGCCTGGCAATAAGTTATTAACCATGACTTGGCTGGAAGCAAAATGCTGCCCCCTCTCTCCAGAATCCAGGCAGGGAGAAGATGGAGTTATTGCTGTTTGAGAAAGGGATTAAATTAACAAAAAAATGAACCTAACACACTGGGATCTCATGATGTACTTCAAGCTCGACCTGCTTAACCCACGTGCCCACGTGTTTCACCAAACGAGCATTGGCATCACAACATCTTCCAGACCATTTTCCTTGCTGTACAAGGAAAACATCCCAATGTCCAGCAGTTCTTGAGCTCTGGTGTCTGAGGCTGCTCAGGAGCCCCTTGCTGAGGACATGGGGGGGAACCTGCCCTGTGAATGTGCTCTGGGGCTCAAGGCTCCCTGCAGAGAGCACAGTGGTGCTCCGGCCTTTGAACCCCATTGATCACATCTGTTGCAGACCGGTGACATCCTCCCTGTTTGGCAGGATCAGAGCAAAATTGTGCCAGTTCATTTTTTCCCATTTAAGCTTTTACCTTTCAGTTTTTTCTTAAGCCTGGACAGGGAAAACCACTGGCAAAGCCACATGTGCTTTCTTTGGTGCAGTGCTGGGAAGAACGCTGAACTTTTCAAGGTACCGGAATGTAATTCTGGAAATCTGTGATCTTTCCACTGTATAGAAGGTGTTGCAGAAAGTCCCTTCTGCAGCAGTGGCCTCTGAGCAAGCTCCTGATGAAAGGGCTCAAGGCTGCCGTGGTGCTCGCTCCGTTCTCCGGCCTGCCTGGCAAGGATGGACGAGCCCTCCAGTGATTGCACGTGTGTCTGGACCATCTCCATTGCCATCCTCATCTCCTTCCATCCCAAGAGCTGAAAACCTGGGCAAAGCTTTTCCTCAGACTTAGTTCAACCTTGGTTTGCAAATGTTCAAAGTGGAAATTAATTCTCAAGGCCTCCCCTGGCACGAAGGCGGGGGGGGGGGGGGGGGGGGGGGGCACCGAGGCACTGCATCCACTTGGGGGGGGCTTTTGCAAACTTCAGAGGTGCATTTTTCTCCTCCTCTGCCTATCCCATCTCTCCCAGCGTCACCCTCCAGCCCTCCTTGCCCTGCCCGGACACTGGGGCAGGGATGCTGACCATTGTCTCTGCCTTTCCCCTCTCACTGCTGTTTCTTCTTGTGCCTTCCCCCAGTATTCCCCACCCAAAGCAATGGAGATCGTGGTGCTGGGGCCGTGCCAGTGCTGGCAGAGGCTGGTTCCCGGGGTCTCTCATGGGGATGCACTCCTCATCACAGTGTGGTCAGCATTAGGGTTTGCAGGGGGCTTTTGTGCCTTTTGGTTTGAAATAGGACCAAGTTTCCAAGGGCCTTGGCAAGGACCAGGAGCAGGGAGGATGCCAGGTTAGCAGCTTGTTCCTTTTCATGGCAAAACATACAGGTTTTGCTCAGCATCTCCTGGAGAATCCAATCCCAATAACTCAATTTTTTTACTTAATTTAAATAAAAGTTGGTTTGTGAAATCTTTGACAAGGTGTTCCCATCAGCTGCTTGTGGAACAGGATTTTCCCATGATTTCATTGTTAATGATTGCATATTGCTATGGAATCTTTTCCCACTTTCTCACAAAAGCACCCCTCACCACAGCAATCCCCACCAAGCCCCTCCTGGACTCTCCTGATCAGCAGAAAGGGGCTTCTCAAGCCCACAGAGCTGTTTAAAGCCCAGCAAGAATCCACTCTAACCCCAGCTGCCCCAGTCAGTGTGGGGCTGGGTAATTGGGATGAGGCCGGCCCGACTATCCGGGCTGCTCCAGGTCATGGCTCTGCAATGGGAGCCATTGCCATGGTGGAAAACCCAGGTTGAACCTCACGGAGCTTTCCCTAGGCTTTGGCTGGTCCCACGCGCGGGGCAGCTCCCAGCTCCCTCTGTTTGTCCCCCGCAGTGTTCACCCCACGGGTCATAGGGACGGCAGTGGCACGGTACAACTTCGCCGCGCGGGACATGCGGGAGCTGTCGCTGCGGGAGGGTGACGTGGTGAAGATCTACAGCAGGATCGGCGGGGACCAGGGATGGTGGAAGGGGGAAACCAATGGAAGAGTGAGTGCATCCTGATCATGTCCTGTCCCCTTCCTGCACGGTCCTCCCCTTTCTCAACCTACCCAGCTAAAGTGTAGGACACCAGAGGGCAGGGGGACATGTCCCATTCCCTCTTGCTCTTTCCCAGCTCAGGTGACAGTGGGCTGTCATCTCAGGAGAGCCACCACGGTCCTGCCCAGTGACACACATGGAGGTGGACAGGAGCAGGCACGCGGCATCCAAGTCTGCACTTCCTTGAACCTTCATGCAGGGGACTGAAGCAGGGGTGGCTCTGCTGGTGAAGGGCTCAGCATCCTAGGGAAACAGCAGGAGATGGCTTGAGCTGGTGTCCCTCGGGGCTTGCAGCACTGGGGACAGATTCTTCATGCCCTGATCCCTTATATGTTGCAGACAAGCCATGTGCCCAGGCAATGTACAGTTGTTCCCTCTGTCCCAGATTAGGGTAATGGCTGCACTGTCACCACCACTGTGCATCGGGATGTGGGTGCATCCAGCACTGCGCTATTGGCTCACTGGGTACAGCACGTGGTGGCAGGGGAATAGTCCCAGCAGTAGGACAGGAGGTCCCTTGAGCTCCCCAGGCCCCTGCTCACCTCTCCCCTTCCCTGGCAGGTTGGCTGGTTTCCCTCCACGTATGTGGAAGAGGAGGGCGTGCAGTGACTGCGGGATGTCGGACGGATGTCGCCAGTGCCTGGAGTGGGCTGCTGCAGCCCGTGCACACTTGTCCCAGTGCCGTGGCTCCCATGGGACACGGCTGGACGCCTCCCGGGACTGCTCCCGCAGACTTTAGCTGTTCCTCTGTACAGTGCGCGCGGCCACCGGCCTCGCTCCTCCTACATGTATAGAAGATTGATGGTCTGTCGGATAACATTGGAGTAGCAGCTGCTGAAGAGTACCGGGAAAGCCGTGCTCCCCTGCATGGACAGAGCTGAGAGACTCTGTGCAGTGCCCACCAGAGGATGGGGTCCAAGCCCTTGCCAGTAAAGGTGTTTAAATGCCACCATGGTGATGGTGGTGGGAGGGTGAGGTTGAAGCTTTGCGCCTGGGCTGGTGCCTGGGTGCGCCAAGGTGAGAATTTGGGGGTTTCTCTGGGGAGGGAGCAACTCAGCCCTGAGGAGGCGATGTGGACCCACACATACTCTGCTTAGGGAGCTCCCCGGTCACGGTTTTGGCAGCACCGTGTTGCTGCCGGGCGAGGGGCAGAGTGGGGACACCCAGCCCGGGAGCAGGGAAGGGCTGTTGCTCGTCTCAGAAGGATGCCACCCATGCAACCAGGAACGCGTTCTGACCATCAGATGTAGGCTGGAAATGGATGTCCAGGTCAGACAGGAGGGGAAAGAGCCGCTTTGACACCCCCAGCCTGTTTTTGTTACAACTGCTCTCAGTCCCACCAGCCTTGCTGCGGGCAGTGGGGACAGCCAGGGGTGTGAACTGTCCCACTGGTGAGCAGGAGGTCTCGGCACACTGCAGGACTGAAGATCTGCTCTGCCCCACAGGGTTTCGGGGACCAGCAGGTATACAAACAGGAGTGGATGGGAGTGTGTATCCGTGGGTATGTCCATCACTTGCTCCCAGCTTGGTTCTGCTGTAGGCAGGCCCCTCCGAGCCAGGCTGGCTCTTGTTGGAGCTGTGACATGTCCCACCTTGCTGAGCTCAGAGGGACCAACCCACTTGATAAGGGCTAAGGGATGAACTGATTGCTCTCGCAGAGTTGTGGAAGCATCTCTTCTTCTCCAGCTGTGTGCAGTTTTGGGGGCAGTGAACATTGCCTCTCTTCCTCCCACAGGCTGTCACTGCTGCTGCTGTCAAGTAAAGGTCCCTCTATCTTGGCATTGCTGCTCTGTCCTGAGCACTGTCCATCTGAGTCCGTTCTTTCCAAAGTGCAGCTCCAAAGTTGGTAGGCAGAGCTGCCAGGTGGAAATCCCAGCCATCCTCTTCTGTCGGGAACTGGTTTTGCTCTCCAGCTCCAGAACTTACTTCCAGAATGCAAATATGAACAAATATGTGTGTAGGAGGGTGACAGGGAACAACTTTTTTCTATCCAGTATCTGAGCCCCAGGGATGTTTTCCAGCCTCTCTGGGTGGCATTTTGAGCTGGTGGTTCCATGCCCTGATGCTGTTCCCCTGTCACTAGTGGTGGTCCTGCCATAGGGCAGCTCTTGGCACTACACTGGTTCACTGGGAGATGCCAGTGTTGGGTGGGTGAGTGATCCTGATGGCCTCAGTCCCTGGCATGGGGGGTACCACAGCTGCATCCAAAGCCTTGCCGCAAATGGAGCAGCAAGGGATAATAAATGGAAGAGTCTGGGGCTCTCAAGACAAAGGGAAAGATAGTAACTTGGAAATTAAGTGTTGTTGCTCAGTGACAAGCCCAGAGCAGCCCCAGTTTGGTGCCCATTCACCCTGGAGCCCCGTGGGTGCCCCAGTTCTGGGTGCTGCAGGGCCTGGCTGAGGCAGATGCACACTAGGGTCTTGCTCTGTGAGGTGATGGAGATGAAGATGGGACTCAGCGCTTCCCCAAGCTACTGTTTGGTGTTAACCTCTCCCAGCTCAGCTTGGGGTGCACTCAGGAGGAGCAGCCAGGTGGGAGCTGGCAATGCCCTGCTCCTCCTGTGCAAAGCAAAGGGCCCTTCTCCACTCTTGTAGCTGTGCTGAAGCCAGGGGTGTATTTAAGTTGGATGGGATGCACGCACACACACACACACACAAGACAAATGATGGCTCATGTTATGCCTCAGATCCTAAAGCCTTACACAACCCTCCTGTTGAACGTGGCCGGTTCTGTAAGGGCATCCCCCTGGATGAGCACGTGCCCCATCACGGGGACCTTGGAGCCCCGGAGGGGTCCCCAACCTCAGCTGCTGCCCGTGCTCCCTTCCCAGCCCCTTCCCTGTGGAGAGCTCCCTCCCGTGTTTACTGTTGTAAGAAACTTGTTAAAAAGATTGTTTTGTTTGTAAGTAATTATTCAGCCATTTGCCACAATATATATCTGTGAATAAGAAAGGGAAATCTTTTTTTATGATGGTGAGAAAATTGTATATATTTTAGTTCATCGCAGGTCATTCAAATTTGCAATGGGATACGTTGGAAAATAATATGTAAATTCCTTGGGTCTTTCCTTTGCACTGCACTAAGTGGGGGAGGGTGGAGGGGATTTAAAGATAAAACCGTTTGTTTATGGAATAGTTTATAGCAGGGAATTTGGAAATCATTTGGAATAGTTTGTAATGCTGGAATAGAAACTTTAGCTGCTACTTAGAAACCCTTTTGCATGTGGTTTTTCCAGACTTTTTTTAGTTACCGTACATCAAATTCCACAACAAAAAAATAAAGTGTAATTTTGCTGAGAGGGCTTTTCCCAGCCATGGTTTTTTACCGTGCTGGAGCCTCAGGCTCATGGGGGGCTTCTTGTCACTAAAGCCCCCATGGCCACGCTGGAGCTGAAGGGGCGGCATGGCGGGTCTATGGGAGATGTGTGCTCCTGGGGATGGATCCTTCCCGATTCCTGCTGCGAACCGTAAGTGTTTCTACCCTGAAGCCTTTCAGCTTCCCTTTGTCCCTGGGACAGCTGCCTGGTACAGTTGTCCTAGGCTCCTGCTGGCAGTGTTCCGGGGGCTCCTCTCCCTCCTGAGCTGAACCCGCTGCGGGGGGGAGAGGAGGATTTTCCACAGCTTTCAGTCACTCCCAAGTCTCCTATTCCAGAATCTCCTCAGCCCTGCACAAAACATCATTTCCAGAGCAAGGAAAGAAATTGCACTTATAAAATGGCTGAGGCTGTGCTGGAGGTTTCACCCCAGAGCAGCGCACGGGGTGCTGCTGTGAGCTGTCAGGGCGTTTCATTGACAATGTTCATTTTTCCTCTCTTGGAGTCCCCAGAGCTTTGTCTTTCTTGGTTCAGCTTTCACAGGGTCAGCTGGAAGGCGCTGTAGCAATGAGCTGAGGTGTTTTACTCAGAGAAGCAGGACATGAGCTGGGCACTAGCTTTTGGATGATTTGGAAAGATGCTGCTCAGCCAGTTAGCCTTGGTCGGTGATGACCCCTGCCTGGATAAACGCTGTTCAGTCTGAGGGGAGCTCTCCAACATGCACCATGTGTGAAACACCAGGGTTTGGTACCTGGGTGCTCTCCTTGGGTGGTGATCATTGGGCCCTGCGTGGGTCAGCATCATCATCAAGCCCCCACGGCACCGTAGTTGCAGCACTGGAGCCTGGACCTGCTTCCATGTAGGGTCCTGTCTGGGGGCATCCCTGCCACCACAGGGCCTGGCTCCTGGCAGCAGGTGACATGTAACCCGCAGGAGGTGGTTGCAGCCTGGGCCGGCGGCTGCCTCAACAGCCGGCTTTCCTGGCTCCATGCCTAAACCTCCCCGTGGGGGCTGCACCAATGCCAGGTCTGATGCCTCATGGATAAATGGGACATTTATTCATGGAGCACAGCCACAGCCAGGTGCTGTAACCAGACCAGGAGCAGCACTCCCAGGGGTGTTAATGGGAGGATGGCTCTCAGCCTTGGGCAGCACAGCTGGCTCCAGCCGCGCGTAGCCCCTGTCCCAAGAGGGGATGCACCAGGCACGGGTTTATTTCTTTACTCTTTTATCCCCAGCAGTGGCAGCTGCTGACGTAACCTCCCCATCAGCTGGGCTCGCCGGGCGCTGCCCCTGCTCTGAGCGAACTGGTAAAACTTTCCCAAGCACAAATTCAGACTGTGGTGCAGGGCTTGGTGCGATGGGACACTGATGGCTCACGCCTGAGGCTGCTCCCATGGTGATGAGCATGCCTGGCTGGCACATTCCTGCATTACCTATAACGTTTTCTGTGACCTGGAAAACTGCAGCCAGCCATACAAACCACTGTGCTCCTTCATTTCAGAACTAACCTAAGAATTATAGTGCAAAGACTGAACTGGGGTAGGTTCCCTCCACGTTGGACTGACCATCAAGGACAATAACCACCTTGTTACTGCTCTGGAGTTGCACCAGTGCCCCAGGGACCACAGTCGGTGCCGCTTTTTGAGGTGTCTGTCCTGATTTTGGGGCTGCTGAATGCCTGCTCAGGCTTGTACTGGTTTAGATCTGTTTTGACCCAAAGGTCATATTTATAATTAGTGCATGCTGATGAAATGGTTCTGGCCTGTCAAACAGAAACACCCCACTGCAAACAGGAGGTTAGATTTGTTTGCATCTCTGTGGTTTATTTTGTGCAATTAGTCCATGGAGAAGTCTGGAGGTACTGGGGCTCTTGCTTTAAAACTTAGACACTGATTTTATCTTTGGGAGGGAGAGAAATACTGATGGAGATAGAGGCTAATGCTGGAACAAGGAGCCCCTCCACTGCTGTTCAAACCCTTCCCAAGCTGGGGGATTTGGATGCAGGCTGGGTATCCCAGAACAGGGGCTCGGGGTTGTGGGGAGCACTGAGGGCTGTTCCCGGGGTCACGGTGCTGTTGAATGCTGGGATTCCCCAAAGCACCATCCCTTGGCTGCTGGGGGCTCCCTGGGCCAGGGGCGCTCGATGCTGCTGGGACACGGTGCTCAGCCCCGGCCCCTCCAGCCGCCGGCTCCACCCCGACCTCTGCATCCCGAGATACCAGAGTCCTCCGGAGCCGCCTTTGCAGCGTATCCTGCCCAAACAGGCCCTAATTCCAGGGGTGAGTCCTGGGTTGGAGGAACAATAGACCTGCAGGCTGCGAGATCTAAATGAAACGTTTGTTTTCCTGCCCACTCTAAATTCACGTTTTTGGTGTTCCCACCCTCACGTTGAGCTCCCGGGGCTGCCTTAGCAAATGTGTGAATTGAGTTTAGTTCTGCTCTGACAACGTAACTGCTGGGAAAGCTGTCAGAGGGTCAGATGGTGCTTTTCTCGCCGTGTTTGCTTTCTGGCATCCAGCTGACGGGTCCCACTGGCCCTGGCTGGGCTGTTTGTTCCCTGCTGGGCACGGAGCCGGGCAGAAAAGCGCTGGTTTCCGCCCTGTTTTGAATTTCTCTCTTCTGCCTGCCTTTATCCTTTGTTGGGAAGCAGCAGAGCCACAAGAAGGGGTAAGAGGGACGTAAACCCCCGCTTCCCGGCCGCCTGGGCTGGCTCTGCTCGCCCCCGGTGTTGGTTAATGTTTCTTGCAGCAGGGGCCGAAGGGGCAGCTGTGCACGGAAGAGGAGGAGGAGAGCATCGGAGGAAGGCAGAAGCAGGGGCCCCGCGGCAGGGAGGGCCGGCCCCGAGCGCGCCTCGCTGGTGAGTGGGGTGGTGGGAACGGCCGCGGGGTGTCCGAGCAGCCGCTGCGGTGTCGCGGGAATTCCAAGCTGGAGCTCAGAGCTCCACAGGGACAGCGGGAGGTTCGGAGGCCGCCTGGCAGCGAGCAGGGTCTCGGTGGGGGGAGATCCGGGAGCCCCCGTCCATGGTCTGTGCGAGGGGGCTGGTGCTGGGCTGAGATCCCCTCTGCACCCCGGGAGCAAACCCCGAGGCACACCCGCGGGAACGGGGGTGCCTGCAGGCAGGATCCGACCCCGTCCCCCGCCAGCAGCTCTTGCACCGCCCTCGTCTGACAGGGGCAAAAATGTGCCTTCATTGTGGCCACACCGCTCCTGAATGCAGGGAGGAGAAAAGAAGCAGCTCCTGCAGGCGTGAGCGAGCGCAGGCGTCGCCGCGCCCTGAGCATTTCCAACCCCTTTTTAAGCGGGGCCCCTCTGAAGGGTGTTTGGAGCTGCCCACGTGTGCCACCGGGATCCCGTCTCCCTGCTGGAGCGGGGTCCCAGGGCCGAGCCCCGGGTTCGCTCCGTGGCTGGGAGCTGCTCGGAGCCTGGCACAGCACCCGCGGTGCCACCGAGGTGTCTTTGCAGGACATGTGGTACCTGAGCTGTGCCTGGCGGGCGGCCGCCCCCCGCCTGCCCGCCCCATGGAGGAGCCCCCGGGCCCGCGGCAGCGCGACCGGTCCCACGGCCAGGAAGAGCGTCCCGTACGAGAAGACGCTGCAGGAGGAGGGCTCCGGGAGCAGGGGGCCCAGCCGGCCCCCGCCGCGCGCCGCAGAGGTGGTGGTGGTCGGGGGGGGCAGCCTGGGCTGTCAGACCACCTACCACCTGGCCAAGCAGGGTGTCACCAGCGTGGTGCTGCTGGAGCGGGACCGCCTGACCTCGGGCACCACCTGGCACACGGCCGGTGAGGTGGGGGGCACGGCGGGGTTCAGCGGGCACGGGGATGCTTTGGGATGTGCTGGTGTCCGTGGAGTGTGTCTGTGGCACAGCTCTGGAGGTGCTGGAGGAGCTTTCATTGTAGTGAATTTCAGGGTTTCTGGGTTTTCATTTGACACAACTTTTTCTTGAGAAAACGTCCCCCAGGTTTTCTTTTTTTCAATTTTCCTTGTAGTTTTATATGGCCATAGGGAAAAGGAAAAAGGTTATTCCCAGGCTTTTTTTTTAATTCAACAAGCCAATTGGCTTTTGGAGGTTTTGTCCTTTTGGGGGTTATCTGCTCCATAAAACCCCCTTTTTCCCATTAATTTAATTCCAGACTGGTTTGGGTTGGAAGGGACCTTAAAACTCACCCAGTTCCAGCCCCTGCCACAGACAGGGACTCCTTCCACTAGAGCAGCTTGCTCCAAGCCCCTGTGTCCAACCTGGCCTTGAACACTGCCAGGGATGGGGCAGCCACAACTTCTCTGGGCACCCTGTGCCAGCGCCTCAGCACCCTCACAGGGAAGAGCTTCTGCCTCAGAGCTCATCTCAGTCTCCCCTCTGGCAGGTTAAAGCCATTCCCCTTGGCCTGTCCCTACAGGCCCTTGTCCAAAGCCCCTCCAGGTTTCCTGGAGCCCCTTCAGACACCGGAGCTGCCCGAGGTCTCCCTGAGCCTTCTCTTCTCCCACGAGCAGACCATGATTTGCAGCGCTCCCACATCGCCACGAGATGGAGCGAGAGCCCCGTCAGGGCGACCCGTTCCCCGCGGGGTGGGTGGTCCCGTCAGCATCCCACCGGGTGACGGAGGTGTCGGAGCCGCGGTCCCACCCGTGTCCCGTGTCCCCAGGTCTGCTGTGGCAGCTGCGTCCCAGCGACGTGGAAGTGGAGCTGCTGGCGCACACGCGGGACGTGGTCAGCCGGGAGCTGCCGGCGGAGACGGGGCTGCACACGGGCTGGGTGCAGAACGGGGGCCTCTTCATCGCCTCCAACAAACAACGCCTTGATGAGTACAAGAGGCTCATGTCGGTAGGGAGTAGCCCCTCGGTGTGTCCCCCAGCCGGGTGGGATTCTGGGCCAGCCTCCTGGCTCTGTGAGGCTGCTTGGAACAGGCAAAATGCTGGCAAATAGGCAAAATCAAATCCACCGTGGATTTTTACCCCTTCAGATAGTGGCAGCATCATTCCTCCA